GTTTGGTGTCAGAGGCCTGAAATCATGGTACTTCGAAAATGGAGGTAGGAATTTCAGGATTTCAAATTCATCCCAGATGAACATGGTCAATGATCTATGGTGGTAGGAGCACAGAACACAGGGATTTTGTGATTGGTTCAGGACAACATCCATCATCTTCCCTGAAGCTCCAGTACTTCAGAGCTATGGCACCAGCAATTGTTAACTAAGGTAATTACCACACCATCTTTCCTGTTCCCTTTTTTATATAAATTATTCTTATATAATATAAATAACTTGTAAATTAGAAACTGTCTTATATCATATCAACCACAGTTTCCTCTCCCTCCCTTCCTCCCAGACCACCCACTGACCCCATCATCCCATTCCCCTTCTGCTCCCCAGGAAGGGTTTGGCCTTCCTTGTAGGATCATAAAATCTCTCATATCCTTTGGAGAAGGGCCCAGGCCCTCCTGTATGTGTCTAGGCTGAGAGAGTATCCCTCCATGGGGAATGGCCTTCCCAAATCCATGCATATACTAGGGTAAACACTGATCCACTACCAGAGGCCCCATAGACTGCCCAGGCCTCCCAAGTGACAATATGTTCAGGGGGTCTGGATGTGTCCTCTGCTGGTTTCCCAGCCATCAGTCTGGGGACAAGGAGCTCCCCCTTGTTCAGGTCTGCTGTTTCTGAGGTTTTCACTAGCCTGGTCTTGGACTCTTTGCTCTTCACTCCTCCCTATCTGCAACTGGATTCCAGGAGTTCAGTTCAGTGTTTATCTGTGGATTTCTGTTTCTGCTTCCATCAGTTAAAGGATGAATGCTCTAGGATGGCATATAAGGCAGTCATCAATCTCATTATCAGGGGAGGGGCATTTAAGGTAGCTTCTCCACTATTGATTAAATTCTTAGTTGGGTTCAACATTGTGGATCTCTGGACATTTCCCTAGTGCCAGATTCCCCCTTAAACCTATAACGGCTCCCTCTATTATGGTGTCTCTATTCTTCCCCTGACTCAATCTTCCTGCTCCACCAAGTCCTCAGTCTCCTTTCTCTGCTTCCCTTTTCTTTTCCCTAAATCCTGCTTCCCTTCCCCCAGGCTTCCAATTTGTTCCAGAGCTCTTGTCCCTTTTACCATTCTCAGGGGAATTGGCAGGATTTGTAAGGGTGGAGTCTGAACTGAGTTGAAGCCAGGGGAGGGCCATCCCTTGGCACCCTGAGGGCAGGGCTTGTACAGGTCCTACTGAACACAGATTGGACTGGCAGTGGCCTCTCCCCACCTGCACCTCCCTTTTATGGCAGAGGCTTCACCCAACCTGCATTTTCTGCCCCCTCAAGGAACAGATGCCCGAGCTCTCTAGGATGTCAGCTAAGGGAATGCCTCTCCATCCTCACCTCTGCTGAGTCTGAGCCCAATGCGTCCTGATCCCCCTCTTCCACTATCGTCCCTTGTCAACAGGAAGAAGCCAGATTAAATCTATTTTCCCTATACCTGGAAAGCCTGTGTTGTTTATGTGGAAGCCCGATTGGCTTCTGTGTCTATGTAAAGAGTTTCGAATGATTAGTAGGCCCAGTCCAAACACTGACCTGAAGGTGCCAGGGCTGGGCCTTTTACCTGAAGTCACCGCAGTCCCTCTTCTGGAACTAAAAAACCCTCTATTTCCAGCTCCACCTCTGGGGGGCAACCAAATCCCCCACTTCTGCATTTTCCTCCTGGTTTCTAGTTTTCTGTTACCCCAGGGCCACACAGGGATTCTTTAATAAAAAATAAACACTGTGCTATGTCTTTGCTCTACTGGTCCTGTCACTCAGACCTCACTAGGCAATCAGAGCATCTAGGGGACCTGGCAGACAGATGGCAGGGACTTTTTCAAGGCTCCTGTGCTGTGCCTTTGGTTCTGTGTACCTGACCCAGAGTAGGAGAAGCTGGGGAGACTCTCTGTCTCTCTCTTCTCTTTCTGCCCTCTCTCTCTGTGCTCTCCTTTCCTCTCTCTCCCTCCTCTGTCTCTCCTCTCTCTATTCTCTCTCTCCCCTCTTTCTGTCTCTCCTCTCTCTATGTCTCTTCTGTCTCTCTTTTCTCTCTTTTTTTCCTCTGGTTGTACATCTTGACAGAAAGGCATAGATTGCATCTTCCTGAGCAGGAATGCCATGGCAAGTCTAAATTATGGGTTCTGTAGGTTGTTCCCCAGTAAAATACCCACTTATCATTTATCTTGTGTCTCATGGAATCATTAACAACCCACATTCACACAAAATAATATTTTTATTGAAACTAAAGACAATTATGAAGTCTTACCAAATTGTTTACATGAATTGGGTTTTCTCTTACATATTGAGCTATGCAGAGTACACAGCTTTACCACACTGCTTACACTTATAGGGTTTCTCTACTGTTATGATTCCTTACCAAGACTTTACCACATTGCTTTCATTCACAGGGTCGGTCTCGGGCATGTGTTCTTTCATGATATTGAAGACTCCTGTCATGTGAAAAGGCTTTACCACATTGATTAGATTCATATGGTTTCTCTCCAGTATGTGTTCTTTTATGATATTTAAGACCACTGGCACGTGCAAAGGCTTTACCACATTGATTACATTCATACGGTTTCTCTCCAGTATGTGTTCTTTTATGACTTACAAGAGAGGCATGTTGTGCAAAGGCTTTACCACATTGATTACATTCATATGGTTTCTCTCCAGTATGTGTTCTTTTATGATATTTAAGACCACTGGCACATGCAAAGGCTTTACCACATTGATTACATTCATACGGTTTCTCTCCAGTATGTATTCGTTTATGCCTTACAAGAGAGGCATATTGTGCAAAGGCTTTACCACATTGATTACATTCATATGGTTTCTCTCCAGTATGTGTTCTTTTATGACTTACAAGTGAGGTGTGTTGTGCAAAGGCTTTACCACATTGGTGACATTCATAGGGTCTCTCTCCCGTATGCATTCTTTCATGTGATTTCAAACTACTGTCATGTGCAAAGGCTTTACCACAGTGATTACATGCATAGGGTTTCTCTCCCGTATGAGTTCTTTTATGTATTTGGAGTTTACAGTGTTGTATAAATGCTTTCCCACATTGATTACATTGATAGGGTTTCTCTCCAGTGTGTGTTCTTATATGCCTTATAATCTCACTATGACTTGCATAGGCTTTACCACAGTGATTACACTCAAAGGGTTTCTCTCCAGTGTGTATTCTTTGATGTACCTGAAGATTACTGAGCTGCGAAAAAGTTTTACTACATTGATTGCAGTTGAAGGGCCTCTCTCCAGTGTGTGTTCTCTTATGTACTTGAAGTTGACCATTACTTCCAAAAGCTTTACCACATTGATTACAATCATAGGGTTTTTCTCCTGTGTGTGATCTTTTATGTCTTTGAAGATGACCTTGCCTTGCAAATGCTTTACAACATTGATCACATTCAAAAGGTCTCTCTCCAGTATGTGTTCTTATATGTACTTTAAGCTCGCCATGCCTTGCAAATGCTTTAGAACAGTGATTACATTTGTAGGTTTTCTCTCCAGTGTGAATTCTTACATGACTTTTAAGCACACCATGACTTGCAAAGGCTTTACCACATTGATTACATTCATTTGTTTCCCCTCCAGGATGTGTTCTTTTCTCAGGTAGGAGACAACTGTGACAAGCAAAGATTTCACCATACTGAAGACTTTCATATGGTTTCTCTCCATTATGAATGTTTTCATGCCTTTGAAGATGCCTGAAACACATACAGTTACAACACTAATGAGACTATTCATAGGGTTTCTCACCGTATGTCTTCATTCCTTTCTTCAAACATAATAGGCACATGTGAAAGGTTTATCACATGCATTATAGTGAGGAACGTTAGTATCTGTATAAATCCATTTCATAATATGGCCTAACTGTAAAGAGGAATCAGATCTTAAGTTTTATATCCCGGATGCTTCCCCTCATTAGGGGTTCCTTTGTATCTTTGAAAATACCTGTGTTTGATAGTAACAGCCTTTATTTCATGGCCTACATGTAAAGCATCTTTATTACATGAGATTTTTCACATACTTGAAAAGTACTAGAGGAACTCATAGGTTTGCCATATTTATTGTACTCATAAGTGTCCTATAGTATAAGTCACACTACATTGTAAGAATGTACATGGACAAATGGACATGTTCATTCATTCCAATGATTATAGTGTTCTTCCACAGTGTGAGTTTATTGATGTCTTCCAAAGAAGTTGGAAAACCTGTTAATTGTAAACTTGTATGACATTCAATTAATCTCCTCAAAGTTGAGACCACTAAATATCTTTCACATCTTCTAAATGTTCTGAGAAAGAGGGAGATGTACACACCTTCTTTCAATACTCTAAAATCACATAACTTGTGTTTAGTGTTACATGTGATATTCTTTTTTCATGTTTTTTTTGAGACAGGATTCTCTTTGTAGCTATGGAGTCTGTCCTAGAACTCACTATGTAGATGAGGTGGGCTCCCAACTCACAAAGGTCCTCCTTCTTCTGTGTCCCAAGTGCTGGGATTAAAGGTGTGTACCACCACCGCCCAGCCTGACATATGATATGATTGTTAAAGGAAGAATGACAACTAAAAGTTTTCCTCACTTACCCACTATTTTCCCACATAGACACATGGTATAGGGATGAGGATTTCTCCACAACAACCTTCTTGACTCTCATAAAGTGACACTTTCAATACACTAAACAAAGGCACACTTATGTGAGCAATGGCCAGCTTCACTATAGACTCTTTTTTACTTAAAATATCTTAGATATATATATATATATATATATCATTGTTTTCTTGACTTCTTTTTCACAGGCATTCCTTGGAAACACAGAATAACTACCTGACACTGAGGCACATGTTCTGGTGAGAGATTAAGAATCATTATTGTACTTTAAGCTGTGCTTATTTACACTGTTGCTCTACTTTACATCATTCAAGAGACATTAAAATTTCTTCAGAGGCAAATTTGTGTAAACTTTTACAAGAAAATTACCTTCTATGTCTTCTAGAATGTTCACAGTGTTCTTCAATATTATAGTCTTCCCAACTGTAGCCTAAAATACAATACGAGAAAATAAATGATATATGAATGGAAATTTTACAAAATTTAAATTAATATCATCAATGACTGTGGGGACAAGAGACCTTGGTCAGAGACCAACTTCCGCATCAGCCTGGCACCAGGCAGCTGTAAGACAATGTTTACTAAAAACAATACAATGCTCATTGCAATAAGATCCTGAAAAGGGCTTCTCCACGTGAACATCCTGACCTGGACATTTTCCATAGCTTAACCATCTCTTCTGAATCACCCAACACAGTCTCTGGTGTCAGGGCAGAACCAGCCAATGGTAAGACAGGGAACAGAAGCTTTTCTGGAGGGAAGCCTTTCTTGGGAAGTTTTCTTGAGCCTTTCTGGGGCCTGCTTAAAGTTTTGTTTACATCATGGACTGGTCTCTGAGTGATCAATCCTGACACCTCTGCACATTCTCGGATACAGTCTGTGCAGCAGGTGTGGCAAATGAACATGATATCTATTCCTTATTCACCTACGTTTCCCTTTTCTCAATCAATATTAGAGAAGAGTATCAACAACAAGGAAACAGTCTTCCCCTTTTAAAATCATGAAGTAAAATTTAGTCTCACCTATGGCAGTGAGGTTCCTGTAGGTCTCCATCATCACATTTTTGTAGAGAATTTTCTGAGAAGGATTCAGCAAATCCCACTCTTCCTGTGTGAAGCCGATGTGCACATCATCATAGGTCACTGCAAACTAAAATAACCCACACATGAGTAATGCAGGAAGTATGATAATTGCATTGTACATGTATGTTTCTTTCATAGTTTATTCATATAATTCTGGTACTTCCCAAACTTATTCCATGACATGGACATTGTAAAGTATTCACCCAGCCACTTTAGAAGGAAACTGACTAGGAGGTTCACATGCACCACTTGTTGGCTGGCACTTTAAGTATCACATAGCCCTTATAGAGAAATCCCAATGAACAGACATAAGATGCAAGAAATCACATCAGCAATACTGAGAACACATCTGAGAAATTGTATGGCAGGTCCTGCCTATGACAGCAATACGTCAGCAGCTGGTACCAACTTCTCTCTGTCTTTTTTAGGTTTTTATTACTATGGGGAGACATCATGAATCATGGCAACTTTTACAAAAAGAAAACATTTGATTGAGGTGTCTCCCTTAAAACTTGACAGGTTCCATTAGTCATGTCAGGGTGCATGGGAGAGTTCAGGCATCTGTGGTGCTGAAGGTCAGAGTCCTTATATCTTGTGCCAGAGACAACGGGAAGTTGACTGACTGGGCAGCATCCTCAGTATAAGAAACATCAATGTGTGACCCCAGAGTGACACACATCCTCTAGCAAGGAAAAGTAAAGTCCTAAAAAGCCACACCTCCTACTCCTATCACAAGTGGGTGCTGACAGACTATAGATTGACAGCTGGGAACTTGCATGGGACCAAACTAGACCCTCTATATATGGATGACAATTATGAGACTTGATCTGTTGGCGGGCCCTGACAGTGAATCCAGGACCCATCCCAGATGCAAGAACTAGCTTTTTGGAGACCACTCCCTATGGGAGATAACTTCCTCAGTCTTGATAAAGGATGGAGGGGATTGGTCCTTCCTCAACTTTGTGTGCCAGAGTTTGTTGACTCCCAAAAGTGGATATTACACTTTTAAGAAGAAATTACCATTTGTGAGGAGAGAACAGGGAATGCAAAGTCGGATATGTAGGGGGCTGTTGATGGAGAGGGAGGAGAACTATGCTGGTATGTAAAATGAAAGCAAAATATTTAAACTAAATTTAAAAACAAAAAGTGTATGATCACCCAAAGTGACTGATTTTGCCCTCATTTCTCTATATGTAACAAGAATTTGGAAAACAAATTTATCCCAACTTTTGTATACAGAGTTTTTGTGTGAGAGAGGTTTACCAAGTATGTGCATGCGACATACCAGGGAAGACAATGTTGGATACCCTGGATGTGGAGTAGCAGGTAGCACTAAGCCTCCAAATTTGAATGATGGGATCTGAACTCAGGTCATCCCCTAGAAGTATAAGTGCTGAGCCACCTGCCAAGCCTGATCATACTTTTTAGGCAAAACACTAAAAGTCTTTCACAGATTAAAAACAATTAGAATAAAAGAGCCTACATAAATAAAAGAGTAAATAAATAATCATTGGGAATTTGATGCATCAATATTAGTATACTGTATGGGGTAAATTTGCCAAACTCACTGCAACAAAGCCATGCCTTCTAATAGTGACACTCCCTATGAGATTGCCTTCAGACTATCACATTGCCACAATCAGGTCCTTTTTCATGATGGTGACTCAACCAGCTGATTTCCTGTCATGTTTCCCCCTTGCAGTGCACCCAACAACTATTTTTACTACTCTGGTCTAGTTCTCCCCATGCAACTCCTTTTCCTGTGACTGCAAGGGACACTCAAGTACATAATCTAAATGCATGATTGGAAAACCCTGACATCATACAGTCACTTAACTTAATAAGGGGTAAACAAGACGGCAGCAAGGTCATTGCCCTGGAAAGCAACAGACTGGGATCAAGGCCACCTGTGTCAACATGATACAGCTTGTCTCAAAAACATTTTCTCTAACATGCTGGAAGTGCTGCTATGCTAGAAATAATATGCCTTTCCAATTAGAAATAACTACACAGTCTAAGAGATTAATAAAGAAAAATCTCTGTAGTGGTAGTATACATTCATCTATCTCTGTCTAATGCTCAAAGAAGAGAGAGCCTAAAACACATTCATTTTGATTTATTGAGACAAAGTTACTCTGTGCAACAGCCCTAGTTATCCTTGAAGCAGCTCTGCATATCAGGCTGGCATCAAACCCACAGCGATCTTCCTGCCTTTGACTACCGAGTGCAGGGATTAAAGGCATGCACCACCTCCACCTGGCTCATAAAACAGGTTTAATTTCAAATATGCTGTCATCAATTTCTTTTAGGTTCAGTCTCCTGCTTGCAGTTTGAAAAAAATTAGAATTAGATGGTGACAAAAAACTGAAAGTCAGGATAGTAGGAACTGAAAGAGTTCCATAGAAAAGATATAATTATTGCATGCTACACTGGTAACATGAAACAACAGGTCATATTTCACTGACAGGTCCTGAGGTAGAGGTGCCAGAAGACGAAAAAGATAGGAAAGGCAGAACAAAGAAAAGATAAAAGCTGGGGTAGGGAGGTCTCTCTTAAGCTTTGTCTTTTCTAAGTGAGCGTCATAAGGGAAATAGCTCCTTGTATACTATTTCCAGGGGGAAATAGAAGACTTCTAGGAAGTCACCATAAAGTATACAATGAAACTAACTCAGAAGAAGGTTTCCAAATAAATAAATAAATAAATCGGCATAATGGGAACACAGGGTATGCCAATAACACTACTGCTTAAGCACACAGTCGCCTTTGGGACCAATAAACACATCTCCCTATGATAGAAAGAGTTGTTTTCTCAGATTCTGAAGAAATCCCCCCACAACTGCCCTGGCTTCAGACAGTTACATTCTCTCTGAAACATCTTCCTAGTTTTAATGGAGGAGCTCTATTTTATTCCAGATAACTCAGGGCCTGATGGAGAAAACTCCCAGGGCTAGGTCCCAGGCTCTTTCTCGCTCTGCCACACATGTTGCTGGGTTTGAGAAAGAGCTATAATCCTTCTCCATGAGTGTGGAACTAATCAGAAAGTTTTGCTCAGTTCAACCCTCAACACAACAATTTTCCTTGTCAAAGACTTGTCTCATGTTGCCCATCTGGAGAACTATGATATTTTCTCTAGAATGAAACTGGACCTGTGTAGCACACCATATACTAATATTCATTGTGACCAAGCAGTTCCATGTTGATCAGTTTGTAAAAGTCAGGCTCTGTAATATGGGGATGGGCCAAGAGGCTGTTTGTACATCAGAGATTTTGCCTTCTTCATGGTTTGGAGACAAATGTCTGGACAGTCATGGAGAACAAATGTGTATTTTAGCATCCTACTGTCTAAGAGGCCTTCTTTGCATACTACTTATCTTTGGGGTATTTTAGTGGCAGCACTCCCTCAGCTAACTCCTATTTTGTGTGATTTTCTATCTCTTAAGAATTGGTAAATCCTTTATATCAACAATTCTACTCTTCCACATGTCATCTTAGCACTGGAGTGTAATCCAACATGAGAATGCCATTTAGAGGCTTCTTAGTGGCCCATGCCTTTAAACACAGGACACAGGAGGCAGAGGCAGGAAAGTCTGTATGAGTTTGAGGCTAGCCCACTCTACAGAGCAAGGTCTAGGTCAGGTTCCAAAGCTACAAAGAGAAATCCTGTCACACAGAAAAAATCATAAAAAAGAAAAGTAATTCCATTTACACCATGCACAAAATTAACTCCTAATGAATCTTACACATAAATGTTAAATGTGAAATGCAGAACTTCTAGAAGACACGGGAAAAACTATGTCTCTACAATTTCAGCAACTTGCCTTCCCTATGCACCAAAAGCACATTGGTGTTGTCTACATAGATGTTTCTACAGAAAGCTACCAGATCAAAATGCTTTCCACAGATACAGCCCACAGAGTGAAGGATTCACAGGCCAGCACCAGGATTTGGGGATTTTCACTACCACGTGGGACCTCACAGATCACAGAATGTGGCTACAGATTCCCACCCAGCTTCTGGGAGGGCCTGCCACACTGTCCCCCATGCCTCCCCATCCAGCCCTTCTGAACTTGGAAAGCTTCCCCTCACTCACCATGCTGTGTCTTCTGTGTTCATCTGTTCTCCCCTCACATCCCCTACAGCAGCACACACAGCACAGAAATCTATCCCCTGATGCCTGTCCTGCTGTAAAACTAAGCCAGCAACATGGCTCCAGGAAGAGTCCTGCTAGACTTGTGACTGGCAGGTTGGCCTGGAGTCCCTGATTGGCTGGCGGGGCTCGATTGACAAGAGCACTTCCTTAAGGGTTAGAATGTGCTTAAAGGCACAGCACAGGGTTCCCTGTCCCTGGCTTCCCCTACACACCCTGACATTTTAGAGATCTGCAAAAACACGGATTTCAGTATCACTCACCCCTGTCTCCAGGAGATGACCCAGCTCTCCTCTTGCCGTTCACAGGTTCGGCTTCTTCTTCCCCCTCCACACCACATGACGAGCTTGTACATACAGTTACACAGTGATTTTTAGGACACAAAAGAAAATGTTTGTGCAAGGTAGTGGCTATGCACACCTTTAATCACACACCTAGGGAGGCAGAGGCAAGCAGATATCTATGAGTTTGATACCAGCCTGATCTACAGAGTGAGTTCCAGGCAGATATATGTGAGTTCGAGGACAGCCTGGTCTATAGAGTGAGTTCCAGGACAGCCTCAAAAACAGTACAGAGAAACCCTGTCTAGAAATACCCAAAAAAGCCAGATGTTTGTGTCAAGCAGTGGCTGAGCACACCTTTAATCCCAGCAATCAGGAATCAGAGCAGACAGATTGCTGTGAGTTTGAGACCAGCCTTGTTTACAAGAGCTAGTTCCAGGACAGGCTCCAAGGCCACAGAGAAACGCCGTCTTTGTCTTCAGTACACAAGCTTACTTGAAAGAAATGGGTTCTATTGCTTGTAAAGGAATAAACTCAGTAGCCAGAGCTAGGTTGAGCAGGCAAAGAGAGAGCTCTCCTTTTTCAATATCCCTTACATATGTACACTGCTGCCAAAATGTGTGACCCAGATTGTAGGTGGATTTCATTCTCATGCTGTTTTTTTAAATTTTAGAGATAGCATTTATCTGTGTAGCCCTGCATCACAATCTGTTGACCATGCAGGCCTCCAGCTCAGGAAATCCAACTGCTTCTGTCTTCTGAGAACTGGGATTAAAGATGTGCATCAACACCAAGATGGTACAGGTGGATTTTATCTCCTTCAAAGATCTAGATTAAAGATATATATTCTGATTTTAAAACCTTTAATAAGAAAATGCCTGCTTGGAGGTGGTGACAGATGCCCTAAATCCCAGTACTTGTGAACCAGAGGCAGATGGATCTCTGTGAGCTCATGACTAGCCTTGTCTACAAACTGATTTCCAGTTCTGTCTCCATATCTAGTGAGTAATTCTTTGTGGAAAATCCCCCAAAGAAACAAACAACAACAAACAAACAAAAGAGCCCCACCTCATTGAGATTTAGGTAATTCCAGAGATAGTCAGTTTGATTAACTAGAAGAGCCATCACAACAACCAATACAGAAATTAATGAGAAATATTTCTTACCTTAGGTGACAAGGAGCCCATGGGTGTGAATTCTGAAACAATTGTGCTCCTAAACAAGGAAAGCCTGGGAAATTTACTTGGGATTGAGAAATGTTCCTGTAGAGTTCTCCGTATTCTGAAGCATAGTCAGAAAACAAATCCACTTCTGCACATGACCACAATGTAAAAGATGTAATAGTAATAAAAGTTTTTATCTCGGGGGTCACCAACCCTCAAGGAACTGCACTGTATGTTCACAGAGTTAGGATGGAGGAGAACCACTGATCTAGAGGCTACTGAGTGAGACCCTATGGTGCTGGATGGGGAGTAGCAGTCTATTTCATGCTGCATAAACTGAGTCCAAAAGATACAAATTCAAGGCCTTCTTGCTAAGAGGCAAAAATTCCAGAACCAGAGCCGTGGCCTCTCCAATCCACTGACAAAGAAAGGAAGAATTGACCTTCCACAATATTTGTGGTCCCTGAGAAGAAAGGCAGTTTCCAGTATAAGCCTGTCTCCTTGGCCAGTTCATTAACCTTTTCTGAAGCCTGGTTTTTCTCATTCTCCAAGCACTACATGTCCTACATCACCTGCTTATGCTCCAACTTCAGCTTTTTATATCAAGGATTTAGCCTGTGGTAGGGCCTGGACCAGCAACCAAAGAACTCCATGAGTACAGGCCTTCAAGGAGCACAAAAAATACCATCTCATTTTTCCTTTTTTCTAAAATAAAAGGTTATAATTAATAAAACAAAAACTAAGTACAATCAGTTCAATAACTATCTACAATATATACAGGCAATAAATGCATCAACAATGTGTAGCCCATCAGCATTTGACTAATTCAGAAAGAAATACTGCCGTTACCATCCATTTTGTTCAGTCCAAAAAGTTGTACCTAATTTGCTTTCTTTTTTAACTTGCATTATCAAAATTATATTTTCCTCTCTAAACTTTATACAATTTACATTTCTTCAATGAATTTCTTTTCTGAATCACATAAAAAGAAAAAAACTTTAACTATAGTTATAAAGTCTTCAACTCCATCAGAGAACCCAGAAGGAAATAATATTACCTGAGTAAGAAGGAAATGTTAGCAACTGACTTACAAAAAATGTGATAAATAACCTAAACTGCTGGCTGCCTGGACAGTCAATGAAGGATCTTCTGTAACCTCAGGTAATGCATCTGTGGCCTACCCACTTAGAATATATGACAGACTTTTCTATGAGGCAGTACTTTTTAAGGACTTTCCCACCTTGTTTTAGAAGGTTTCCACTAACTCACTATTGTGTGCTGCTGGCCCAATTTGGACAGCATACTGTCAGCAGTTAAGGCAATAGCACTTTCTTGCCCAGTGGCTTACATTTGCTATAAAGAAAGTAAAGCTGATGTGTAGTTTCATTAATGCCCACCATCTGCTCTGAAGTGTATTGTTTCTGCCAGGATCAGACATATCTCATTTTCATTAAAAATGATAAAAACCAAAATATGTAGTCAGGCAGTGGTGGAGTACAAACATAACTCTAAGAAGTCCATCAATTCAGAAAGCCACTGGAGTAGGATATCTCCCTTTAGAGTGTGATGTTAAATTTTATTCCATACTTTAAATTTATTTCTATTTATTTAATGTGCATTGGTGTTTTGCCTGCATGCATGTCTGTATGAGTGTGTCAGGGCCCCTAGAACTGTAGTTACAGTCAGTTGTGTGAGCCACCATGTGTGTTGAGAATTGAATATAGGTCCTCTGGAATAGCAGCCATTGTTCTTAACTGCTGTATCATCACTCCATCTCCATCATTCAGTCTTTTAGCTACAATTGCAAATGGTGGCTTTAGAAACAGAGACAGAGTTTACTTTCTCTTTCCTTGGTTACTGGAACTTTGATGATGGTGTTTCCATTTTAAGAATCAATTTACTCAATTTTTGAACTTTAATAAGTTTCAAAAATGATTGCTTATATTGTTAAATTAATAATCAAGTAGTTGTCCATTAATTAACAAGTATCTATCAACATGTCCAAACAAATAACCAAATTTAGCCATGTATCTAATGGTTCTGGCTATTTTAGAAATGTTTCATCAGAAATAACACTCAACCCTATGCTTCACTGTCTCCCATATCGTGGAGCTTTATTCAATAGGAAATGATATTTTCTGCAAATTTATGCATTGTAGTAATAAATTACTTGTTTCTAGTGTTTAAAAACAGTATAAATTCAAAATTAGAACCTAACAGTATAGAAATTTAATTGACTGGAAATCCCAATGTATTAGTCAGGATTCGTTAGAGTCACATAAATTAAGAATAGAATCTCTTTGCCTTTCTTTCTTTCTTTCCTTGTTTCTTTCTTTCTTTCTTCCTGTCTCTCTGTCTGTCTGTCTGTATATCATCTATCTATATATATTTATCTTTCTTTCTATATATGCACATATCATCTATATCTATCTTTCTATATCTGTTGTCTATGTATTTGTCTCTATCATCTATTTATCTCTATCTTTATCATCTATCCACATATTTACCATCTGCCTATATAAATCTATCATAGTCTATCTGTATATATCACTTTTCAAATATCATCTAAGCATATGTGTCATCTATCTATCTCTATCTCTATTTTTATCTCTCATCTATCTGTCTCTATCCATATCTATGTTACTAAATATATAATCTGTCTTCATTCTATATCTATCATTTTCCTATTATTATCTGTATCTGTCTATCTATATATAACTATCATATATTTATAAATATAAAGACACCCATGTTCATAAAAGGAACATTACTAAAACTCAAATCTCACATTAAAGCCCACACACTTATACTTTGAGAATTCGACACCTCACTCACACCATTGAACAGGTCCACCAGATAGAAACCTAACAAAGAAACAATGGAACTAACAGAATTTATCTCTCAATTAGATTTAACACATATATAAAGAACATTGCATCCAAGCAATAAAGAATACACATTCTTCAAAGCACCACACGGAACCTTCTCTAAAATTGACCACATACTTGGCAGTAAAGCAAACCTCAGCAGATACAAAAAATTGGAATAACTCCCTGTATCCCGTCGGACCACCGTGGCTTAAAATTAGAATTCAACGACAACACAAGTTGCAGAAACCTCACAAACTCATGGAAATTGAACAATGACCTAGTGCATCACCCCTGAGTAAAGGAAGAAATAAAGAAAGAAATAAAAGTCTTCCTAGAATTCAATGAAACCCAAGCCACAACATACCCAAACCTTTGGGATATTTGAAAGCAGTTCTAAGAGGAAAATTTATAGCACTAAGTGCCCACATGAAGAAACTGGAGAACTGCCACACTACAGAATTAACAGAACACCTGAATGCTCTTGAAAAATAAGAAGCAAACTCACCCAGGAGGAATACATGCCAGGAAATAATCAAATTGAGAGCTGAAATCAATAAGTAGAAACAAATAAATCAATACAAAGAATCAATGAAACAAAGAGGTGGTTCTTTGAGAAAAATCAATAAGATAGACAAATCTTTATCAAACCTAACTAAAAGAGAGAGTACATGCTAATTAACAAAATTAGAAATGAAAAATGTGACATAACAACAGACAATGGGGAAATCCATAGAATCATCAGATCATACTTTGAAAATCTGTACACCACTAAATTGTAAACTCTAAAGGAAATGGATGATTTTCTGGATAGATATCTCTTACCAAAATTAAATCAAGTAAACATAAATGATTTAGACAGGTCTATATCCCCTAAAGTAATAGAAGAAGCCATAAAAATTCTTCCAACCAAGAAAAGTCCAGGACCAGAGGTTTTCATTGCAGAATTCTACCAAAAATTCAAAGAACAGCATATACCAATACTATGAAAAATGTTCCACACAATAGAAGTAGAAGGATCACTGTCAAATTCTTTTTACGAGGTTACAATTACTTTAGTAGCCAAACCACATAAAGGCACAACTAAGATAGGGAAATACAGACCAATCTCCCTCATGAACATTGATGCAAA